ACAAAATCTAAACAACTTGTCCGAAACTCTTGGCTCAACTTTGGCTTAGACAGCTGCATAATGCTCCATGATGGATCCTGTTTTAAAAAACTTCGTCCGACTTCAACGTTTACCTTGCCTGACGAACTTTAAGGCTGCCGGGGCCTCATGTTTCTTTCAAATAATTTAAAAGAAAAATATTTGTGCCACCTGGTATGGAAGACGACGACGTAGCCATCGACTGAACAAAAATATGAAGCCCGAACCTGTATTATCACCACCACCAACAACAATAATAATAATAATAATAATAATAATAATAATAATAATAATAACGAAAACAAGAAGAAAAAAATGGTATAAATCTGGTAAAGTTTTATTGGGTAACTTTACAAACTATGCACCGAGACTTGACTACCAGGAAGAGGGGGGGGGGAGGCCTGAGGGTGATGGTGTTGCAGTGCGTCACCAGCTGCGTTAGATGGTGGTGGTGGTGCAGTTGGATCACCTGAAGATTAGCCCCCCATGAGCTAATTACACCTGGGGGTTAGGTTAGGTTATCGGAAGGTGTATAATAAGCTCGTGGGGAGGGGGGGACAAATCTTAAGGTGATCCGGGGCAGTGACACAGTCATCAGAAAGTCCTGTTACCTGTAGGAAGAAGCAACTTGCCAATCATCAGGTCAGTGCCAGAGTATACCTGTAGGAGGCGCTATAGTAAACAGGAAGTCCCACATTACCTGTAGAAGGTAATGTGGGCCTTTCAGGTAAGCCCTTGATTATTGGTGATTTATCTATGGTGGGGGGCTTTAACCTCACCACGGTCTTAGCTCCCTCGGGCGTCACTCAGAAGGTGTGTGTGTGTGTGTGGGGGTTGTTTGGTGTTATGGAAATTAGTGCACTTTGTGGTACATCTAGTTTGCTGTAGCGACACACACACACACACACACACACACACACACACTGGGAGAGTTGTTAAATACGACCCCTAAAATGTCTTCTGTCTATCTTCCTTTCTACCTGTACATAATCTGTCTGTCTATCTGTATGGTTGTCTTTTCTGTCTTCTCCTGTCTCTCACACAAGACGGTGAGGGAGGGATAGGGACTGACGGGTGATGTGGAGGGGCTGATGGGTGGTGCCGGGGTCTGGCGGCTGACGGGTATTAGTCAGCAGGAGGACAACAGTTCCGAGGCCGCAGACAGACAGGAGACAGATGGTAGGCGGCGCCCTCCTTACCTCCCTCCATCCCTCTCTCACGACCTCTCCCAAACACTTCCGGTACCAACACCACCCTTGTTTTAGTACCTCTCTCTCTCTCTCTCTCTCTCTCTCTCTCTCTCTCTCTCGTGGTTGTGTATGACCAGAGGACTAATATGGCGATCATTCACAACCTCGTAATGGTGTTGTGGTGGTGCTGGTGTGGTGTGATGGTGGTTGTGAGGTGTGGTGGTTGTGGTGCGTCGCTGTGGTAGTGGTGGTGAGTTATGGTCTGGCTAATGTACCGTACATGTTCCCTCTACCCTATACGTTGTTCCCACACGGCCATTGTAAGCATGTAGTGGTGTTGTTGGTTTGATGGTGGTAGTAGTAGTAGTTTGTTGTGGTGGTGGGAGTGTGTTGTGGTAGAGATAGGGTGTTGTGGTGGTTGTAGTGTGTTGTAAATATCGTGAGAGAGAGAGAGAGAGAGAGAGAGTCAACCACTTACCTTCGTTCACATCCACTTTATGCCCAAGGCTTTAGTTAATAGCATCCACCTCCCCCCTCCCCCCTCCCAACGCCACTAAATGAATTGAAGCAAAATTTTTAGGATTCGATTACCTCTCAGTTAACCTAACCTCCCCCCCTCCAAGGTAGCGTTAGGGTAGTTAATCTTCAGGTGAAATAAGCTGTGAGTGTCTAATCTTCAAGTGAAATAAGCTGTGGGTGTCTAATCTTCAAGTGAAATAAGCTGTGGGTGTCTAATCTTCAAGTGAAATAAGCTGTGGGTGTCTAATCTTCAGGTGAAATAAGCTGGGTGTCTAATCTTCAAATGAAATAAGCTGGGTGTCTAATCTTTAGGTGAAATAAGCTGTGGGTGTCTAATCTTCAAGTGAAATAAGCTGTGGGTGTCTAATCTTCAAGTGAAATAAGCTGTGGGTATCTAATCTTCAAGTGAAATAAGCTGGGTGTCTAATCTTCAAGTGAAATAAGCTGTGGGTGTCTAATCTTCATGTGATGGGAGAATTCTACAGATGTTGTGAGAGAGAGAGGACTTGGCGTAATAAGGAGGCGGCGTTGTTGACACAGGAGTACTGGCTAGGGGCGAGGGACAGCTGACACGCATACCTCAGTGCCCCGGGTGGGTATGTGGTGGTGGTGGTGGTGGTACCCATAGATGTCGCCTGCCCCCTCCCTCCCTCCCTTCCTCCCTTCCTCTAATCTTTCTTAAATCCCCTCTCTTTCTCTACCTGACCTACCCCCCCCCCCCAGGTAGCGTTAGAGTGTTTAATGATGAGGTGAAATAAGCTTTGGGTGAGGGTTAATCATCTGTTAGGTAATCCTCACACTCAGGTAAACTTGGTGACGTAATTCCCTCACACTCAGGTAAACTTGGTGACGTAACTCCCTCACACTCAGGTAAACTTGGTGACGTAATTCCCTCACACTCAGGTAAACTTGGTGACGTAATTTCCTCACACTCAGGTAAACTTGGTGACGTAACTCCCTCACACTCAGGTAAACTTGGTGACGTAACTCCCTCACACTCAGGTAAACTTGGTGACGTAACTCCCTCACACTCAGGTAAACTTGGTGACGTAACTCCCTCACACTCAGGTAAATTTTGTGACGTAACTCCCTCACACTCAGGTAAACTTGGTGACGTAACTCCCTCACGCTATGGGTGGCAGCGTTTCGTGACCGTACAATAGGAGGTGGTAACGACTTTGTTTATACCCCGGGTGGTGTTACGGAGGTCAGACCCTGAGGGATGGTGGTTAGGTTATGTTGGGTTAGATTAGGTTATGTTGGGTTAGCTTAGGTTATGTTGGGTTAGCTTAGGTTATGTTGGGTTAGCTTAGGTTATGTTGGGTTAGATTAGGTTATGTTGGGTTAGATTAGGTTTGTGTTTTTACCGTGTTTTAAAAGCTGTGTCTGTTGTTGTGTCTGTACTTGTATTAGTTGTTAGCGTTAGGTTTGTGTTTTTACCGTGTTTTAAAATGTGTGTCTGTTGTGTGTCTGTACTGTATTTTTGTTTCAGTATTAGAACCTAACCTAACCTAAAATATTAGGGTGTTTTAATCATCAGGTGAGATAAGCTGTAGGTGGGGAGAAGGAGGAGAGGGGTGACTAAACTGCAGTTGATCCCCCCAAAAAAAATTTCTACACCTCTCGTTCTTGTTAGGGTTTATGGGACACACTTTACCCACTCTGCCACACTCCCCCGGTACAGTATTTCGCCAGCGTGAGCAGACCGGCGTCGACTTGAAACTGTTTTACACGCTTTGGTGGCGCCTTTACTGTCATATACTGTACTAAACTGCTTATACACACTCCGTTAGCCAGCGAAGATCAGAGAGAGGGGGGGGTGGGGGGGGTTAGGGAGGAGTAGAGAGATTGAGAGAGAGAGAGAGAGAGAGAGAGAGAGAGAGAGACACACACACCATTACTTGTTAGATAAGTCTGATCAGTTGTATCAGTATGTATAGTCAGACGCTGGTACCCTGTTGAGCATCACATGAGCAACCAAGAGGAAGGAGACAGAGAGGTAAACAAACTCACCTTCCAGTCCCAGCCTCTCATCAGCTGACGCCCCTTACCACACGCTATTGGTCTAGGCATTAATGTGTTGGGTGGTGGTAGTGGTGATGATGAAGATTAACCTGCCACATCACCCTACCCCGGCCCAGTTTATTTCACCTGATGATTAAACACCCTAACGTTACCTGAGGAGGGGTTAGGTTAGGTTAATCTTAAGCTGGAGTACCAAATTTTCATGAGGGAGTTTGAACTAAGGTTGTGAAAAATATAACACCGTATTGTTGTTAGAGTTGTTGTAGTTTTTGTCGTTGTTGTATTTGTTGTAAGCATACAGTATGTTCTATTTATAGTTGTTATCATAGTTGTTATGGTGATGGGTGAAAGGTGCAGCAACCAGACAGACGGAGGCAGGCAGAAGGGGACGTGCTGGCTAATATTGATGTTAGCGTCTTTGAGTGAGTCACACTGTACACACCTTGGCAAGAGAGAGAGAGGGTTCCCACGCTTACCTGTATGTGTGGCCAGGTAACACACCCCTCTCTCTCTCCTTCCTTCACCCCCTCCTTCCTTCCTTCCCTCGTCAGGCTCTATTGTGATGTAACACTCGGTAACGTGTTTGTCTCTGTGTACAGGTGAGGTGATGCAACTTACCTGTGTGTGTGTGTAGGGTGGGGGGGGTGGTAGTGTGTTAAGTGACTATTATATGGATTCCCTGAAGGTTAGGTCCTAATTTCCCAGAGTTTGTGTCATCTGATGATTAAACACCTGGGGAGTCTTAGGTTAGGTTAGACTAGGTCAGTTCAGTTCTAGATTAGATGAATGAAGTCAATTTACCATTAGACTAGGTTATGGTTATGATACGTTAGCATAGAGTTTGAGTGATTGACCTTAAATTGAAAGTCTTGGGGAGGGGGGGGGGGACTATTCTTCACCTGATCCAAATTAATTAGCCTTATTAGTGAACATTAGGTCATAAGCTTTACAGGTGCATGTACAGCCGAGGTCAAAAGTCTTGAACACTTGACAGTATTTGGCATGTAAGTACCCGAAGATCTTAGGTATTAAGGGGAGTTTGATCCCATTTTGTGGTTCAGGCATAATATGTGATGACAAGTCGTGTTATTAGTATATCCCAGTCATATAACTCTTAAGTAGATGTCAGATATTCCTAAGTGTTCACGACCTGTGACCCCGACTGTACAAGAACTTTTATGTATAATATTTAATTATTATTTTTTTCTTTTCAAGGTCGGGATATTAATTTTTCTTTTTAATTTGCAGGTAAACGACATGGGCGGAATGGCAGCAGTTTGGGAGCCGGATATACAAGGTGTGTGGAGCCGGGTGTACAAGGTGTGTGGAGCCGGATGTATAAGGTGTGTGAAGCCGGGTGTGTGTGTAGTGTGGAGCCGGGTGTATAAGATGTGTGAAGCCGGATGTATAGTGTGGAGCCGGGTGTATAAGGTGTGTGGAGCCGGGTGTACAAGGTGTGTGGAGGCCGAATATACAAGGTGTATTAATAGCAGCTGGTCACCGAGTTGGTGTTATTGTTAGCTATGAAATTCTTTTGTCTTCTGAACCTCTTCTTCATTTTCCTCTTCATCTTCCTCCTCTTCCTCCTTCATTCTTCCTTCTCTCTCTTCCTGTCTCCCCCCTCCTCCACACACTCCGTCTCCTGCCATGCCCTTGAAGCGTTTCCCCTTATCTTCTCTCCCTCCTTCTCCCCCCTTCCCCCTCCTACCTCATCCTTCCCCTCCCTCCCTTCCCTCTCCCCCTTCACCCCTACTTTTCCCCTTCTCTTCTTATTTTCCCCCTTCTTCTCCTCTCTACTCCCCTCCTTTTACCCTCTCCTCTATCCTTCTCCCGTCCTCCTCCTTTCCTTCCCCCAACCTTCTCCTCCTTCTTCTCCCCTCCTCCCCTCTTCCTTCCTCCCCTCCTTCTCTCTTCTCCTCCCTCCCATCTCCTTCCACCCACCCCCACCCCCCTTCCTCAGGTTGTACAGTCGCCTCGTGGTGAAAAATATTTGACCGCCTGAAGGAGGTAAAGCCTCTCTTGATGGGGGAGGACCTGGCTTGTTGCCCCCTTAAAGCCCGGCTTGGGGAGATTGAGTGGGAAGAGAGGGAGGAAGGAAGGGGAGGGAGAAGAGAGGAGAGAGGGAATGGAAGGGAGATGGGGAAGGGATGCAAGAGGAAGAAGGGGAAGGAAGAGAGGATGAGGGAAAGGAAGAGAAGAGAGGGAGGAAGAGGGATAGGGGAGGGGAGGAGGTGTGAGGGCAGGGAAGAGGTGGAAGGGGAGTTAGAAGGAGAAGGAATCTGATGAGAGGACGAGAGATGAAAGGAAGGGGGAGGAGGAGAGAGGGAGGGAAGGAGGGAGGATAATGAGAGAGAGAGAGTAATCGATATATGTAGATTGGAAGATAGATAGATAGATAGATAGATAGATAGATAGATAGATAGATAGATAGAAGCAGATGACGTGTTTGACAGACGATGACCAGAAATAAGATCCTTCTCTTCACTTCCTTCTGTGATCTTTCTTTCTTTCTTCTTCAACTTATTTATATCTTGGTTGAATTTGAAATTGAGTGTTATTTACCTACTTTTGGGGATCATGGGCCCTTGACCTACTTTTGGGGGTCATATAGTCTTGACCTACTTTTGGGGGTCATGTAGTCTTGACCTACTTTTGGGGATCATGGGCCCTTGACCTACTTTTGGGGGTCATGTAGTCTTGACCTACTTTTGGGGATCATGGGCCCTTGACCTACTTTTGGGGGTCGTGTCATTAACCTACTTTTCAAGGCGTTAACGTAATCTCCTTCAGAAAAACTATACCAAGACTAGCCATTCAACCTCTTTTGTATGTGATAAATACTAAGATAAATTACAACACAACGCAACACAACGCAACACAACACAACACAACACAACCAGAATATCACACAAACACAGGGAAGGTTGTGAGTTGTAAATTGTATCACCCCCTTTAATAGATCCATCACGACACATATGGCACGGTGCCAGAGTGTCATGTTGGGGGGGGTGAGAGAGTTCCTATAGTGTGTGTGACGCAGTATATGGTCTTTACCCTTAGTGTGTGTTAGGGTGCGTTAGGCTGGTGTGGTGAGGGGTGATGATGGATGAAGGGTTATGGTGTGGTGGTGAGGGGAATGATGGTGTTGGAACTGGATGAGAGTGTTGGAGGTGAGTATTGATGGTGGAGTTTGTTAGAGTGTTGGAGGTGAATTAGGACGTCAAATTAACTTATAACTGTATTATGAGTGAAGGTGGGGCTCAAACCCCTTAAGTGACCCTCCTGACCTCACACACACACACACACACGCACGTAAACATTGAAAAAAGTGTGTGTGTGTGTGTGTGTGTGTGTGTGTGTGTGTCGTGACCAGGATGAGATAGACTGAGAGATGATGACAGGCTCTCTAGTACTGGCTGTTGGAAGGAGTGGTGGAGAGGGTGGAAGGTGTGGTGGAGAGGGTGGAAGGTGTGGTGGAGAGGGTGGAAGGAGTGGTGGAGAGGGTGGAAGGAGTGGTGGAGAGGGTGGAAGGAGTGGTGGAGAGGGTGGAAGGTGTGGTGGAGAGGGTGGAAGGAGTGGTGGAGAGGGTGGAATTTAGCGGGTGGAAGGAGGGTGGAGAGGGTGGAAGTGTGTGGTGGTGGAGAGGGTGGAAGGAGTGGTGGAGAGGGTGGAAGGAGGGTGGAGAGGGTGGAAGGAGTAGGAGAGGGTGGTGGTGGAGAGGGTGTGTGGTGGAGAGGTGTGTGGTGGAGAGGGTGGAAGGTGTGGTGGAGAAGGTGGAAGGTGTGGTGGAGAGGGTGGAAGGTGTGGTGGAAGACGTGATGGAAGTAATCGATGAAGGCGTGATGGAAATAAACGAATGAAAACATGATAGAAATACATAAATAAAAACATGATAGAAATGAAGGAATGAAGGCATGATAGAAATAAATAAAGACGTGATAGAAATACATAAAGACATGATAGAAATGATGGAACGAAGGCATGATAGAAATAAATGAGTGAAGGCATGAAGGAAATTATCAACAAAAAGTCCTTCCCGCGTATTTTGTGACATTTTGCAATTTTTCTTTCTCCCAGGATGATACAGTATATAGCTGGAGGGGAACGTGTCGTACTAAAGAGTTAAAAGCTAATATTCCCAGGATGGTTTAGCACTGGATGAGATTTTAGAGTTTAGGAATATATTAAAGCTATTTGTATTACGTCTTACCTGAGTGCTGGGGGCGGTGAAGGCATTTTCTTTCATTCTTTATTTCTTTCTGTCTTTCTTTCTGTCTGTCTGTCTGCCTGTCTGTTTGTCTGTCTGCCTGTCTGTCTGTCTGTCTGTCTGTCTTTCTTTCTTTCATACATGAGTTATATTAAAGTGTGTTTTTAATTTCTCGTTGGATTTGTTTTTTAAAGGACATTTATATTTTGTTTGTTTTGATGTTTTATTTACTTGTTTATATTAGTTGTTTGTTTTTGTTGTTTTTGTTTATTAGTATTATTTGTTTTTGTCGTTACCTGATCAATGACTATAGTTTTGTGAATGTGATAATATATAGTGTGTTGTGTAGTGTAGTGTGGCGTGGTGTAGTGTATTGTGTAGTTTTTTTTTTACGGGTATTAGCCCACCCGGGCACAGGTCACTGACCCACATCAGGGCCCCGGGGGCGAAATTTTAATAATAATAATAATTCATAGTAAATAAAATTTATAATAAAAAGTAAAACAAAATATTAATGGTAATAATAATAATAACAACACTATGATAATAATACATACAAAGAAATGCAAGAATTAAAAAAAATCAACAGTGAGAAACGCTATATATGTATGTTGTTTTGTCCTGTAATAGAAACAATTGAGACCCTACAATATTGTGTGTAAATGAGGCAGAAAGTCAGATTAGCAACCTGGGACTTGGTCACATATGGCAGCAGGGTCTACCATTAGACAACACATTATGCTGCCAATATCTTCCCAGGCGGTAGTACCTCCCTGTTCGGTAGCTGCCTACTACCTACTACACTAGTGTTGTATAGTGTAATATTGTATGATGTTGCGTGGTGTTGCTTGCAGTGTTACGCCTAGGTGTGTGTGTGTGTGTGTGTGTGGTTTCAGTACAGTTGTATGGTATCACAATTCGTTACCTTGTGTGGTTTCGTTGCCGTTGTTGCGTATGTGAATGATTGTTTTTTGTCGATAGGGGTAAGTGGGGGCCAAGGGAGGGGGGTGTCTAGCACTGTACTCGACCGTCCTTATTTCCTCAACTGACGTCAGGTACCCATTCACAACTGGGTCGACTGGGGGAGACGAGAGCTCTATCCGGGTCGTCCGCCGTAATTCTTTTTCAGGTGTGTGTGTGTGGACAGGTGATAGTAACGTTGGTGATAATGGTGGTAATGGTGGTGTTAGTATAGGAGTAATGGTGCGGGTTGTGGTGCAGGCAGATTCAATTGTTGTGGTTGGTTAGTGATGGTGGTTGGTTGGTTGGTTAGCGATGGTGGTTGGTTGGTTGGTTGGCAAGAATGGTGGTGGTTGATTGTGGTGATGATGGTGATAGATGATGATAGATAGTTTAGATTGGATAAAATTTGACTGTGTGTGTGTGTGTGTGTGACTGTGTGTGTGTGTGTGTGTGTGTGTGTGTGTGTGTGTGTGTGTGTGTCGCTCTCTTAATCCTATTTCTCTTTATCTATTTTTTTCATTTAACTTTCTCTTCGTTTTCTCCTCTTCCTCTTCTTCCTCCACCTCCTCTTCTAATCTTTGTTTTTCATTTGTTCTTTTACTCTTTTGTTTAGGTTTGCTTTCATCTCTTATTCAACTTTACACTCCTCTCTCTCTCTCTCTCTCTCTCTCTCTCTCTCTCTCTCTCTCTCTCTCTCTCTCTCTCTCTCTCTTAAGTGAACTGGAAATACAGGTGTCCACTGTTACCTGGCATTATTGGTTTCCCGGTTTATGTCAGTGTCGGGTAGTGGATGATTCAGATAGGAAAATCTCTGCTCTTGTTACGGGTCAAGTAACTGTTTTCTCACTTCTGTAAACCGGATATAATTTTCCCGTATCATTGTCAGAACCTACTAACTGTTTTCTCACTTCTGTAAACCGGATATAATTTTCCTCTTCTCATTATCATAACCTGTACTACGGCTATTGTTTAGTATTAATTATTTAAAGGATAAATATGGAGAAAATCATCTTTTTCTCTCGTAAAGTGTGTGTGTGTGTGTGTGTGTGTGTGTGTGTGTGTGTGTGTGTGTGTGTGTGTGTGTGTGTGTGTGTGTGTGTGCAGAGACTGACCAGATGTGTGGACAG